TGCCAGCGGTGCTTACACATGCAGACACGACAGTAGTAGAAAGATGCAGACTCAACAATCTGTCTTAGGTTTGCTATGAGTTAGCACTGTCCTCACTTGTGATAAAAATAACACAAGACCACCAGCCTCTCACAGGAGGGAGGAGAGTAGAAGGAGGGTGAGAGGGAGCAAGAGAGAGAGAGAGAGAGAGAGAGAGCAACAGAAAAAGAGAGGAAAAGAAAGGGCCAGAGAGAGTGATAGACATGGAAAGAAAGAGAAAGAGAGAGAGGAAGAATTAATTAGGGTTTAGGAGTTTAAGTACAGTGTTGGGATATATAAAAGTGTACAAATGAACCTGAAACAAATAATTTACAATTTTACTTCAAACAGTACACACACAAAAAAAAAATCAAACAAAAATTTAAACTGAAGACATTGAACAACTGGGAAAGACCAGCTTGAAACTAACCTTAAATGGCCACAGCCTTCATTCGGCAAGCACGTAATGTAACTGAAAATTACAATACAGTATGTGGACAACAAATTATGACTTTGGCAATGCGTTGTGTTGAATACTTTCTTTCAAATAAAGTCCAGTTGTTAAGCATATGGCTTTCTTGCAGTGCAAGGAAAAGGGGACCTGAATCTTGGAGACGAATCTGGGATAAATAAAAGCAGGGCAAACACTTTTGTCTGCTCGATATTTAACATTTTTATTTCTATAATTTATATTTTTGATTGATGGTGTTGTATTTTCCAACTTACTTCCTTGCCTCTTTAAATAACTATGAATTGCCTTGTGTAAGAATGTTGCGATACAAATAAACTTCGGGGTTGTCCATAGCTGTAATGGACCTTAGTGCTTCCAATGGAATATAGCACACTGGACATACAGTAAGTATGTAATGATAACAAGCCACCAGTCACTAGGTGGCAGCAACCCAGGCAGTGGTTTGCGCAAATATACATGTTATCAGGTTCTCAATAGTATTTCAATTCTTGGGGTGTGGGTCAGAGGGAAGGGGGGACGTGAAAACATTTCTGTCCCCAAGGGGGGTGGGGGGGCATGACAGAAAATAATTGAGAACCACTGCATTTCATTCCACCCACGCCCTCCTCCAATGGCAATAAACCATAGGTAAATCCTGATGCCTTTCTAGAGCAGGCCATGAGATAATGTCCTTCCCGCTTGTCCGGAGTTCTCTTCTGGGTCTAGCTCTTTTGAGAGGACGTTATTATTTATTTATTTATTTTATGGTCCGTATTGTCATTGTACCATTATAGTTGCATGTGTAAAAAAATTAAAGGATGTTGTGTGTATTTTGCATAATGTAAAATAATAATAAAATTGTTGCTAAAGAAAAGTACAATCATATGTCGCACAAATGGAACAGAATGGTTCTGGGATAAATTCAGCAGCCTAATACTGTAACTGTTTGTCAATCGTCACATTATGAGAACTTTGTCGCTCCCTGGTGGCCAGAAAAGGCTTGACGTGATTTTAGAGTGGAATCTCACATATATCAATAATATTCTATGATTAGTAAATACAAATAAAATGATCTCTAATCAACAATATCAACATGAACATTTTAAGGATGTTTAGTCAACATTTTAGCAACTGCTAGGCCAGGCATGGGCAAACTACAGCCTGGGGGGGAAGGGAGGGGGCTTTTTAATCTGGCCCACCAAACATTTTGAAATTATATAACTTATTTATATGATCATTATACTTCCATTGACTATGTTGTTTGCAGATGACATGTGATCTGTAGTGAGAGTAGGCAGCAGCTAGAAGACAACCTAGAGAGGTGGAGGTTTGCACTAGAAAGAAGAGGAATGAAGGTCAGCCGCAGCAAGACAGAGTACATGTGTGTAAACGAAAGGGAGAACAGTGAAATAGTGAGGCTACAAGGAGCAGAGGTGGTGAAGGTGCAGGAGTTTA